AGCACTGATATGTGCATCCTAGTCACTGCCAGGCCTGGCTCCAAGCAGGTGGGAGCTCATAGATCTAAAGCCTCAAAAATCTGACACCGGCATCTGTACAGGCAGGAGCTGGGCTGGAGCCAGGGCAGAAGCGCACACAGCCAGCCCCACCTAGCAGAAGCTCACACCTGAGGGACAGGCTCGCAGGCCGTCCAACCCAGAATGAGGGAGACGAGAACCAGGGGTGCCAGGAAGGCAATGTCCTGGGGGTGTAGCAGAGGCCAGTGAAGACTATTCCAAAGGACAGCACGACCTACAGTACAGCTGGGCTTGGACCAGGGGTTCTTGGGTGGTGGGTGGGCCCATCTAAGGAGCAGAGAGCACAGAAGCTCTGGTGGAGTGCGTGAGGGGGACAGATAGGTCTTTCCAGGTCTGCGCCTCAGAGAACAGCGCAAACGCCCAGCAGGAGCAGGTGGTGTCCCACAATACAGCTCACACTTACCCAACCTGAATGAGCTCATTCAACTTCGTGGCATTCTTGTCGTCCATACCTTGAAATGGAAAAAGAAACAGACGTGACCTTGAAGCAGTTAAGAGCAAAACTGGTCGATTCCCAGTTATCTTTAATGTAGCATCAAAATGCTTTACAGAATAGCTAAGATCTCCCAGAATAAAACCCCTATGTTAGCTGCAGCCCCTCCCCCAAAGTCAAAACAAGGTGTCACCTGTGCCGAGGGTGCTGTCCCCACTTGTACATCCTCTCCACCCATGCAGATATTTTCAGAGGGACCAAGGCTGCCTCGGCACAGCCAGTCATTCCCCCCAAAAACTCTCCCAGACCCCTGGCTACGCAGAACTGCCCCACTCATCCCCGAACATCTACTTCACAGACTCCTTCCTCAGGGTAACCACTGTGCTCTGTGCACACTTCCGATGGGCTCTTGTGCTACCTGCGGGCCCACCTTAGTCAGCTTTGAGCCCCAGGCTCCCATGGTCTGCCTAGCAACGAGCCCAGACCTGGCACATTTCCTCTGCCCTCCTGTTACAAGCGCTGTCTTCAGGAAGTGTGAGAAAACAAGAGTAACCAGGGAATGGGACAATCTACGTGGTGGGTGCTTGGGTGCTCACTGTAAAATTCTTTGAACACTTCTATATATTTTGGTGGGGGAAAAAAAAACAAAACAATAAACCACAAACACACAGTCAGGCCAAAAACCAAAACCTTAAAAGCAGCCAGAGACAAAGAACACATCCCCTCTAGAGGAACAAGGGCACAAATGGCCAGTGACCTCTCCCCAGAAACAGGGAAGGCCAGATACTGTGGAACACATTAAAGCAATGAGAGGAGAAAACTGTCAAATCAGAATTCTACACCTGGCAAAAATAAGAATGAAAAGCAAAGAAAGACTTTGCAGATAAATAATAACTATAGGAATTCCCGGCCACCACAACTGCACAAGAAAGCGTAAGGCAGTTCTGCATGCTGAACAAAACAGGACCAGATACAAGCAGATCTTTAGGAAGGAAGGCAGAGTCTGGGAGAGGGCTAGCGTACAGACTCGCTCATTCATCAAGGTTACGTGCAGCCCAGCCCTCAAACGGGCATTCAATCAAACGAGCTCACATCAGTGTCAGTGGCAGCTGGGATGCTGCAGAAAGGGAGGAAATGGGGTGCTGAGCGTGTGTGACACGGAGGCCCCACTTCCATGGAGGTTCATGGGCATTCGAGCTGAGATTAAAGGGTAAGCAGGAGTTCACAGGCAAAGAGAATGGAAGGGCCTGTGGAGCCACCACAACTCTGGGGTTTGAGTCATTAGATGGGGTGCCGTCCAACAAACCACCTTTGAAGAAGAGCCATCTGAACAAACTGGTGTGGTCTACAGAAAGCTGCATTGTGCTCCCTTCACCCCAACCCCACCCGGCGCCGTGGCAGATGGAATAAGCATGGGGTATAAGAATCCGGCCTGGGGGCGCAGGGGATCGTGTCACTTAATAGCCCAGGAGGCTTGAAGTCACTTGTTTTCCATCAACATGGATTGTTCTCAGCCCCTTTTTCAAACGGGGATAATGCCAGCTCACATAGCTGCTGTAATATTTGACACAAGGTAACCTGTGTGTCAAAGTCCCTGGAAGACAAGAGACTCAAAGTCTACTGCTCCAGGATGCGCATGTGTCTGAAGGTCTCGGTTAGAAAAAGGCAGTAATGAAAAGCAAGCTCGGACCTCCCGAGCGCTCAGGCACATTTTCTGAATAGCTCAGGAAGAGCTACCACCGAGCAGACATGAGAGGCTGCCCTCTGCGGAGGCCACACGTTGAAGCATGTTCTCTGAAAAGATTCATGAAACAACAGTGTCCCAGCACATGGATCAGAGTGGGGGCTCAGAGGGAGAAGCCCCACTGGGGTATGTGTGTGTGTGTGTGTGTGTGTCTGTGCATGCGATCGTGTATGAGTGCAATATGCGGATAGGCTGAGAGGGACAAACAGGCATTATCGGCAGGATGGAGGCAGCGAGCTAGAGGGACACCAGCAGAAAGATGAACTGAAGTCCAAGTGCAGAGGCCCTGTGGGCCAGGGGACCAGCTGATACCCTGGGGGCAAAAGGAAGCAGTCCATCCAAGATCATGGATCCCACAAGAGGATGAGGCCAAAGACTCACATGGAGTCAGAGACGGGCTGGGAGGCTCTGGCTGAGCGGCTCAGATGGGGCAGGAATGGAGAAGGGGCCACAAAAGCATCGTAAAGGAGGTGGTGCCCAACACGCTGCTTTGAGCAGAAGCATTTTAGAGCGAGGACAGAAAGACAGAAAAGAGGAAGCAGAGATTAGAGGGAGGTGCGGCCCTAGAGCCCCCCACAACAGATAATTCAAAGCGGGAGCTGGGGGAGACTTACAAAGAAATCCTCAGACTGTGGGGAGGATAGGGGGGCTGGAAACTAAGATGCCTGTCCCATTCGGAGCCTCTTAGGCATCCTTGCCTGTTTCAAGAGAGGGGAGGACACCCAGCACAGGCCAGGAGTGTGTCCGTCCTCCCCGCACTGCTGCTGTTTCCACACCCCCAGCCAGCTGACATGTAGGTGACTGGTAAGATGATGGCTTATGGTCATCTCATATGATTTCCTTTAACCTTCAGAGTCGCCCTGTGGGTGGGTGCTCTTCCAACCCATGTGACAGCAGATAAGTAACACCTGCGGAGGCAAAAGTGTTCCTGCATGTCTGTGGTCACATGGGGAGGCAAGCTAGGGATGCGAGGCACTGGACATGGGTGCCCTGGGAAGGCCAGAGTGCCCTCTACATCTAAAGGGAATCTAGTCACAAGGAGACGATCAGAACATGCAAAGGGAGGGGCCTGGACCCTTCAGAATACCAGGGTCACGAACAACCAAAAAGTGGAGGCTATTCTACGTCAACAGACTCAAGGGACAGCACAGCTACGAGCAGGGCAATGTCCTCAACAGGCGCCTAGCTGGCAGGCTGGGGCGTTCTGGGAAATGTGAATATGGGCAGGATATTAGGTAAGACTGAGGTCCCTGCCTCATAAATGCACTGGGTGTGATAACAGGGTTGTGGGTGTGTAGGAGAATGTCCTTCTCAGCTGACAGAAGCTGAGGAACGTCAGGGTGTGCTAGGATGTCTGCAACTTACAGTCAAATGGCCGAGAAGGAAAAAAGCAAGTGTGTCGTGAGGGGAGAGGGAGGGGGAGAGAGTGCACACAGAAACATGGCCAATGTCACCGACCGGGAAATCTAAGTGCAGGTATGGGGTGCTCATTACATTCTTCTTTGGTTTTTCTGTACATTAAAATGTTTTCAAGACGAAA